CTCTCTCTCTCGAGCTCTCTCTCTCTCTCTCTCGAGCTCTCTCTCTTGTTGAACTCTCTCAGACAATCAAATGACCCTCTCCACCCCATAGGAAATGACCAAAAATAGGCATCTACAACTCCGTAATTTTAACAAAGCGTCCTTAAAAAAGCGCTCCAAGGTTTTAATTTTCAGCAGCAGTCCCCTTCCCTTGTAGGATTTGCCTCCTCTGCTTGTCCCCACGCCCAAATCTGGTGTAACCACAGGTGGACAGTGATGGCAGACCTCCATTTTGTCTATTTTTAGTTGGGGACTGATCAGGAGGGAAACGACAGCTTAAAATGGGCTGCAAATCAGGATTTCTCTCTCTTTCTGCTCCGTATGAATCTCTCTGTCTCTCCGTCATTCAATACTGTTGCTTTCTTCAACCTGGCATCCTTGTGGTGTGTTAGACTACTGTTCCCATCATCCCAGTAGACTTGATGGCTGGGGACAATGGGGATTTTTGTTAAATTGCATTTTTATCCCACCGTTTTCCCTCTTGGCTTACACAGTGGCTCGCACAGCTCTCCTTCCTGCCATTTTTATCCTCACAACAACAACCCTGCAAGGTAGGGTCATTCCCATGCTGCCGCTGGTGGAATGCTTCTCAGAGGAGGGTCAGAGCTCTTAGCAGCAAAAGCCCCCCAGCTCAGCCAGTGTCCAAAGACCAGGAGGTGCATCCCGCAAGAGGCCTGGACTTGGCCTTGGAGGCCGAGCCCCGAGGGCATCGTCGCCTCCAATGCTGTCCAGCTGAGCCCTGGGGGTGGCTTGGAGACTCCAGCCACTTAAGGCAGCAGCCAGCCTAGCCAGTGGCGAAACTGTGTGAACTTTTCAGCCCTTGTTTCTGCCTCGTGGCTCCCTCTCTGTGCTGCTGACCCTGTGGATGGTGTATGGCAGAGGTGGCAAACCTACGGCACGTGGGCCGCAGCGGCACGCAGAGCCCTCTGTCGGCACGCGAGCCACGTCGCCCCAGCATCGCCCCAGCAGCTGAGCATCGGATAACAGAGCACATAGGGGCCATGCGCATGCTCGGAAAGGAGCAGCGGTGCCAGGCAATGACATCACAAGCCATGACTCATCCGAGCTTTCGCATGGCCTGTCAGTGCGCTGCCAAGGATATATATACATTTGCTTGGACTGGCTGTGAGTTCTAATACATGCATTTTTATTAACACAAGATTTTAGCTTTGCGTTTTCTTATGAAAAATTGAAATTTAATATCTAAGATTTAGCAAAGAGATGTTCTAATGAAGAAACTGAGATCCTTTTAATGTTGTGCTGTCCCCCTGGCGTATTTGAATCTGCAGCATCATATTTAGTGGTTTTTTCTAAACTAAAACCTCAGGTTTTATTGCAGTGTTGGCACTTCATTTATTTATTTAGAGTTTTTGTATGGCGTCCCATCGCTTAATGCCTTGGGACGGCTTACATAAATAAACAAACATGGTACAAAAAAAATTACAAATTATACAAAGTAAAAAACCCGATTCATTCCGGCTGCAAATTAAAACCTATAGTTAATATTAAATGTTGTTAAAATTTTGTTTAAATAAAAAGGTCTTAGCCTGGCACCGAAAAACAAATAACGATGGCACCAGGTGGGCCTCTCTGGGGAGTGCATTCCATAAGTGGGGCGCCACCGCAGAGAAGGCCCTCCTCCGGGTACTTTGCCTCCTGATGTCTCTCCCGGAGGGCTCCTGGAAGAGGGCCTCTGCTTCCGATAAATTTGCGATAAATAAGTGGGTTTTGGATTGCAGTTTGGGCACTCAGTCTCTAAAAGGGTCACCATCGCTGGTGTTTGGGATCTGACCCCTTGGCCATCCCCGTCTTGATGCAATGCATGGAACCATCTGTGGAAGGGGAAGATGATCTTCACTTGTGCTTGGAGCAGAGAGGAAACCACTGGCTTTGTTTATGTGAGATCTTTGTGTGCCGATGCTCAGCAAATCAGCAAAGCGCTCCTTTGGCACCAGTTCAGTCACTAGCAGCCCCCAGGGCATGCGCTGCCTGGAATATCACATGGTAGACCGTTTCCAGCCATCAGCGCATGCCCTGCTTCTTGGCCTCCCTCCTGCCTGCCAGTGTTTTGAACCAGTTAGGTGAGTTTTTCCAGGGCAGGTGTACCTTAGCACAAAGGTTGGGTCAGCTCTAATAAAAGTGAGTGGGAAAGTTTGGAGACTGGTCAGAATGGGGAGTGTTCCGCCTGCAGATCTCTGCAACCGTTTTCCAAACCCGGAAGTACAGCTAGGAGCAAACAGATGGATTCTGTTGGATGAGAAATGGGTTCCTTTCCAACTTGTTTGGTAGCCTGAGAGCCTTTTGCAGGTCACCCTCTCTCAAATCCAGAATTAAATTAAAGATTTACATGTTTAAAAGTCCCTGGCTCTTGTGGTTAAACAGAGCTAATCTCAGAAGCAGGATCTAATCTCAGAAGCTGGTGGTGTGAAATCTGGAGAGTTACTACTGCTCTCAGTGGGGTAGAAATTAACTGCACATTTACTTAGCCATGGGAAGGTTAAGCTCTTAAGGAGACAGCAATAATTTTTTTAAAAAGCAATGTAAATAAGTAGTAAAGTAGGATTATTTGTCAAATAATTTAATTTTTATTTTATTATCTTCTTTTAATCCCACTGAAGTTGACTATACCTTGGAGGGAAGGGAGAAGTTGACTAAAGCTAATTACAAACAAGAAAGCATCCAAATTTGCTCTTTTAGCTTTTTTATTTTTTATTTTTTGCATCTGCAAGTCCAGCTGAGCATCCTATTCACCAAAGCAGACTGTTCCATGCTCCCAAAAACCGAAAGACAACCTCCTTCCCACCTTTATGTTCCCAGCTACTCCAAGGAAGATAGCTCCTGTACATGGAAGCTCTATTTAGATCACCATCATGCATGTCAGAATGACTCTGTGCGCTGAGCAAAGTCTACAGCACTGGTTCCAGCCTTTGGTCTCCGGCTCTTGCTGGAACACAGCTCCCATCATCCCCAGCTACTGTCAGACTTATGCTGTTTGTCGTCCTACAGTGTCTAGGGCAGGGGTCCTCAAACTTTTTCAATAGGGGGCCAGTTGAAAGGCGGCTACATGCGCGGGCCAGAGAGGCAGCGACTTGCTTGCTCGCAGATCTCCCAACGAGTCCAAAACCATCTCCGAGCGAGCAAGCCACTGCCTCTCACACGCGCGGGTGGTGGCTGGCGGCACGGGTCAGATGAAAGGGCATGGCAGGCCGGATCCGTCCCACGGGCCATAGTTTGAGAACCCATTGTCTAGGGATTTGGAGTCAGGAAACTGTTATACCACTGGTTTGTATCCGGCACCCTCCAAAAATGGATCTGAAGTTTATGCATGTTTGTATTTGAGCTGATTTCATTAAGAAGGAAAAAATGTGACCGCAAGGTTGAAAGTTAGTTTATATTGCTAAAAATTTAGTATGGAGCTTACTTCTCAAACAGGTGTGCCTAATATGGGAGACCTTTTCTTATCAGATGACCTTGTAATTAAATTAAAAGGCTAACCTACCTTCTCCTACAAAAGACTATCCTTCTTTTCATTAAATACTTTGGTGAAGTAAGCCTTTATTGCAAAACACCAAAGGAAATACCGAATTAAGCAGAACATATTGAAAGCAGTCTTAATACAGTTATCAGAACGCAAATATTCCCGTCCAGAGTTAAATGGGAAGGATGCAGAAAGTGGAAGTAAGGAGTGGAGCGGGGGGGGGGGCACACAGGTGTGGTGCTAAGTTCCAGAAGACACTTTTTGTTCTTTATTTCGTTCACTCATATATTATATTATATTATATTATATTATATTATATTATATTATTTATTCATGAAAGATTTTATATACCATCTGCAGTAGTCAAATTACTCTCTGAACAGTTTACAGTAAAAATTAAAAGACCCAATGCAATAAAACCTTACAACATAAGTATACATAGGTAAATGAGTGAGGACTAGAAACTAGATCGTCTGAGTCCCAGTCCCATGCTCTTAACCACTACACCACACTGCTCTCTGGGAATGCTGGGAATTGCAGTCCAGCACGTTTGGAAGGCACCAGATTGCAAGAGCAGGCCTTTTTCTGGGGTAGCCTTTTGTGAGGAACAGTTCCCTGGATAAACCCCACTGCTTCTTGTTCTGGCTTGCAGCTGCTTTGCCCTTCATCATCCTCACCTTGGTGAATTCTCCGTACAAGAGAGGCTTCTACTGTGATGACACCTCCATCCGCTACCCGTACAAGTCGGACACCATCACTCACGGCGTGATGGCTGGGGTGACCATTCCCTGCACGATCGTCATCGTAAGGAAAATTCTTAATATTCAAGATAGGTGAATGGAGTGTCCATGCTCTGGAGCAGCATAATTTATGTTTATGCATTACTCTGTTGTTTTCTGTTGTTCTGCCAGGGGTCATTTTCCCTCACTTGCACACACAAACACGGCCATTTCAATCCTCAGCAACAGGCTAGGCTGAGAGAGATTGAGAGCAAGAGAGCAGGTGGCCCAAAGTCACCAAAAGAGCTTCATGATTGTGGAGGGATATGAACCCAACGCTCCTTCATCCTGCCTTAATCATCAGCTGTGGCACAGCAGATTCTAGAAATGAGCCTTTGTGTATACATTCTCCCGCGGTTTGTTCCTAAAACGTGTTCTGGTTCTGATGTCCATTGTTATTTATTCGGTTTCTATCACCCAATAGCCAAAGCGTTTGGAATGGCTTACACTGGCACATAAAAACAGAATATAAAAATCCGAACAACATGAAAAACATCCTTAACAGGTGGTAGGTCCTTTGTTCCCCAAAAGATGGGTGTAAGGTGTACTCACTTCCCTCATTGTTCCAGTGCATCCGTCCATCCATTCACAATTTGGTTTTCAGATTTCGGCTGGAGAGGCTTACCTGGTCTATACAGACCGCTTGTACTCTCGCTCGGAATTCAACAATTACCTGGCTGCCGTGTACAAGGTCGTTGGGACATTCCTTTTTGGCAGCGCTGCCAGCCAATCACTGACAGACCTCGCCAAGTACATGGTTGGACGCCTGCGGCCCAACTTCCTGGCAGTCTGCGACCCGGATTGGTCCAAGGTGAACTGCTCAGCTTACAATCATCTGGAAGACGTGTGCCGAGGCAACATCAAGGACATCACAGAGTCCAGGTGAGGGTGAGAGACCTGGGCACAGCAGGTAGATGCAATATTGTCTTCCACTGATGGCGCGGCTGTGTTTGCTCATGAAATTCGTAGCCTGTGGTCAGCTTAGCAGCCCAGGACAAGTCCTAGTGGTGGCACTCAAAACTTCATATAGAGGGGGAGGTACAGAAGTGACATGATGCATTTGGGGTGTGTACAACATCGGGCCAGATGTGTGATTCCTCGCAAGGCCGAAATCAACAACTCTTTGAAATCATTTCTCTCCCTCTCTCACCCCTTATGATGGCTTGCATTCCTATCCTGGAGCTCAGTAGTTGCACGGTTCCTAAAGGTATCGCTTTGTTTTACCACTATGTTCGACTGGTACCTGCCTGCTTATTCGTTGCTCTCTCTTCATCTCCACTTCTGATGCATCTCTCCCCCATACCTGTGTGTGTCTGGAGCAGGTTTATGGGTTTCCAGGCAAAACTAGGACATAGGCATCCTATGTGCATCGTATGCCTGAGATCAGGAGAGGAAGTACAGTAAAACCTTGGTTTGTGAGCATAATTCATTCCGGAAACATGCTTGTGATCCAAAGCACTTGCATATCAAAGCGAATCTCCCCATAAGAAATAATGGAAACTCACATCCCAAAAATATTCATATAAAAATGATTACAATATTGTAATACAAAATAATAAAGAATTTACTTACTTACTTATTATTACATCCTATTGCCAAGCACTCAGGATGGCTTACAAGATATAAAAGTACAATGTAAAATATAAAACTACTATATAGGAAATGGGTACTGGGGCAAAGAGACAAAAGGGTATACCGGGAGGAGGAGGCCCGTTGCAGAAGGATTCTTTGCAAGGCTAAGGCCAATTACGAGCTGAGCCTTGCCAAGAATATCAAGAGCAACAAAAAGGGCTTCTTTCAGCATGTAAATAGGAAGAGGAAGGGGAGACAAGTGGTGGGACCACTAAATAAGGAGGAAGGAGATCCAGTGACTGATATGAGGGAACAGGCACAGATGCTGAATGACTATTTTGCCTCTGTGTTCTCCCCAAAGCAGGACGGGGGAGATCCGCATAGGAGATTAGATGAGGCCGGGGACTTAGGGGCACAGACTAGAGTCACCCCCGTAGAAGTCTAGGAGCTACTCAGGGCATTGGACATTACAAAGGCACCAGGCCCTGATGGGTTACACCTGAGAGAACTTAGAGGGTTGGCAGGGGTTCTTCCACGCCCGCTGGCCTCCATGTTTGAGGCCTCGCGGAGAACGGGTGAAGTTCCGGAGGACTGGAGGGTGGCATCAGTGGTCCCAATTTTCAGAAAGGGTAGTAGAAGGGACATGGGGAATTACAGAACTGTTCGCCTTAGGTCCATTGTAGGAAAAACAATGGAAAGGCTCATAATAGAGAGAGATCAAGTGATGCTAGATAGGGAAGGGAGGCTGGCAGCCACACAACACGGCTTCCGCAAAAACAGGTCCTGCCAGACAAACCTTGTGAATTCTATGAGTAACCATTAGTGGGGAATCATCGGGATGGCGGCCAGTGACAAGCAGGGTCCCCCAGGGCTCTGTCCTGGGGCCGATCCTGTTTAATCTTTTCATTAACGACATGGAAGAAGGGGTGACCAGTCTGCTGATCAAATTCGCAGACAACACTAAAACTGGGGCAGTGGCCACAACTGAGGAGCAGGTACTCCAGATCCAAAGGATCTGGACAGACTATGGAAGTGGGCAGGAGACAACAGGGTGGCGTTCAATGTGGATAAGTGCAAGGTCTTGCACTTGGGGTATAGGAATAGCTGCCATAAGTACAGGTTAGGTAACAAGTGGCTGGAGAGCAGCACTTGTGAAAGGGACCTCGGGGTGCAGGTCAACTGCAGGCTGAACATGAGCCAGCCGTGTGATGCGGTGGCCAAGAGGGCGAACGCCACCCTTGGTTGCATAGCCAGAAGTGTGGCTTCTAGATCGAGAGAGGTGTTACTACCACTCTACACAACTCTGGTGTGCCCGCAACTGGAGTATTGTGCTTAGTTTTGGGCCCCTTGTTACAGGAAGGATATAGCCAGGTTGGAGTCAGAGCAGCGAAGGGCCACAAGGTTGGTGGCCGGTTTGCAGGGGATGCCATATGAGGTGAGACTGCGGGAACTGGGTCTCTTCAGCCTGGAGAAGGGGAGACTCAGGGGGGATCTGTTGGTGACATACAGGTATGTGAGGGGTGTCACACGGAGGTGGGCAGAGACCTGTTCTCCCCTGCAGAGGAAGGCAGGACGTGCTCCAACAGAGCCAAGCTCAGGGATCCAAGGTTCAATTTGGATGCCAGGAAGCACTTCCTGACAGTCAGGACCCCGAGGGTGTGGAATGGGCTCCCACAGAAGGTGGTTGTGGTCCCATCGGTGCAGGTGTTCAAGGATGGACTGGACATGCCCATGGTGGGCATGTCATGAGTGGAGTTGGCTGAAGCTGGGAGTCAAACTAGATGGCCCGGGAGACCCCTTCTGACTTGCTTTGTTTCTTTGTTTCTGTGTTTGTATATAAAACATCAGTTATTAAAACAATGTAAAACACATCATGAACTTACGAAAAAGGAGGAAAAAATAGAAAGTGCGACTGTGAATGGAAAATCCTAAAACATCTAAAACTGTTGGTAATTAAAATAATGGTTGAATAAAAAGGTCTTTACCTGGCGCTGGAAGGAGTGTAATGTCGGCGCCAGGCAGGCCTCTCTGGGGAGTGCATTCCATGATCTTGGCCCCACTGCAGAGAAGGCCCTCCTCCGGGTAGACCCCCTCTATACTTCCTTCAGAGAGGGTTCCCAGAGCAGACTCCCCTGCCAATCTCAGGAGGTGTGAGGACTTGTAGGGAAGGAGGTGATCCTTCAGGTCTCCTGGTCCCAAGCCGCTTAGGGCTTTATAGGTTAATACCAGCACCTTGAATTGGGCCCAAACTTTAATTGGGAGTCAGTGGAGCTGGTAGAGGACCGGCGTTATATGAGAATAATGATCCATCAGCAACCTGGCAGCTCTATTTTGTACCAATTGAAGTATCTGGACCATTTTCAAGGGCAGCCCCATGTAGAGCGCGTTGGAATAATCCAACTGGGAAGTTACCAGGGCGTGTGTCTCCATTGCCAGGCAGTGCTCGTCCAGGTAAGGATGCAGCTGATGGACCAGCCGAAGCTGGAGGGAAGTGCTCCTCGCCACCACCTCCACCTGGGCCTCCAGGGACAGCTCTGGGTCGAGGAGCACTCCCAAGCTGCGGACCCCATCCTTTAGAGGAAGTGCATCCCCATTCAGGACAAGGTCCAAGTCACCTACCCTGGAGCCCGAACCACCCACCAAAAGGACTACTATCTCATCTGGATTGAGGCTCAGTTTGTTGGCCCTCATCCAGCCCATTACCTCGGCCAGGCACCGGTTCAGTACAGCCACTGCCTCACCTGGATTGGTGGAAAACGAGAGGTAGAGCTGGGTATCATCAGCGTACTGATGATTCCGGAGCTCACACCTCCTGATGACCTCTCCCAGCGGTTTCAGGTAGATGAGCATTGGGGTGGGGGGATAGAGCCCTGCAGAACCCCATGGCAAAACTGCCATGGTGCAGAGCTATAGTTCCCCCATGCAGAGCCTCCTACTCCCAACCTGGCCAGTCTATCCATACAGATACCATGGTTGATGGTATCGAAAGCCTCTGAGAGGTCCTGGAGAACCAAGAGGGACGCACTCCCCTGTCCCTCCCCCTGCACAGGTCATCATACAGGGCGACCAAGGCAGATTCAGTGCCGTAACCTTTACTGAATGCAAAATATGAAGAAAAATAAAACAAATTAAACCCTTAGAAAACCTTCCTGGCTGGTGTGAGGGAGACGAGAGAGGAGGGTCATTGTGTCGGACTATCACTAATGGAATTGCTGCTGGGTATCGGCTCAATGGAATCTTTTTCTTTTTATGCAACTTTAACAAGGGACCTTCCTGTTGGACCTCCGCATAACACTTAACTGGGCCTTCTGCTCCTTGCATTTCTTGAAGGCTTGTGGATTCTCGGAATGATGCACGAGCAGGGGCTTGACTCTGCAATCCCTGATTGCAGAGCACAAAATGGGAGTGAGACAGCAGCGAGGGAGGGAGGGGGGGGGGGAGAGAGAGAGAGAGAGAGAGAGAGAGAGAGAGAGAGAGAGAACCTTTGGCTCAGTTGTGACCATGTGACATTTGCCATCACGTCCTACTCGTATAGCAAGATGTCGCTCGTTTATCAAGTTAAAACTTATTAGAAATGTTTGCTTGTCTTGCAGAACACTCAGAGAACAATTTACTTGCAATCCAAGGTTTTACTGTACCAAAAAACAAATCTTGGCTTTCTCTCTTTCTCTTCATTCTAGGTTATCTTTTTATTCTGGGCACTCCTCGTTTGGAATGTACTGTATGATGTTTTTAGCGGTAAGTGAAATTTAAAAGCTTACCTTTAAAATAGCCATGAGACTCCCTACCTGTTGTGCTGAAGGCTTGAGTCTGATTTTCCTAATGGGAAGGCACAAAATATCACCTGTTAATCAGATGGAAGGTGCCAGGTTCTACTCCTGTGTCTCCAATTTTTTAAAAAGGTGCCACTCCAGTATTGGACTACCTTGACAAAACCCTTACCTAGGTTGTTGTTAGTCGCAAAGTTGTGTCCGACCCATCACAACCCCATGGACAACATTCTTCCAGGCATTCCTGTCCTCCACCAGCCCCCGGAGTCCACTCAAGCCCACACTGACTGCTTCAGTGACTCCATCCAGCCACCTCATCCTCTGCCGTCCCCTCCTCCTTTTGCCCTCAATCCTTCCCAGCACCAGGGTCTTCTCCAGGGAGTCCTTCCTTCTCATTAGGTGGCCAATGTCTTGGAGTTTCATCTTCAGGATCTGGCCTTCTCAAGAGCAGTCAGGGTTGACCTCCTCTAGGACTGACCAGTTTGATCGCCTTGCGGTCCAAGGGACTCGCAGGAAAGGAGAAGGGAACGGCAAATCTAGACAGCATACTAAAAAGCAGAGACATCACCCTGCCAACAAAAGTGCGTATAGTCAAGGCAATGGTTTTCCCAGCTGCAATGTATGGCTGTGAAAGCTGGACCATAAGGAAGGCTGAGCGCCGAAGAATCGAGGCCTTTGGATTGTGGTGCAGGAGGAGACTCCTGCGAGTCCCTTGGACCGCAAGGTGATCAAACCGGTCAGTCCTAGAGGAGATCAACCCTGACTGCTCTTTAGAAGGCCAGATCCTGAAGATGGAACTCAAATACTTTGGCCACCTAATGAAGGAAGGACTCCCTGGAGAAGACCCTGGTGCTGGGAAGGATTGAGGGCAAAAGGAGAAGGGGACGGCAGAGGATGAGGGGGCTGGATGGGGTCACTGAAGCAGTCGGCGTGAGCTTGAGTGGACTCCGGGGATGGTGGGGGACAGGAGGGCCTGGAGGAAGGTTGTCCACGGGGTCAGTGATGGGTTCGATGCAACTTCGCAAATAACATAACGGAACATATACCTTCCTCTAAAAAAGTGGCTCATGGAAACTCGAGGGTCAGGATATTGTCTAAAGAACTTGCAGGCAGGCGTGTGTAGAGAATGGCGAGTGCACCAGGAATGCCTCGTAAAGAAGCTGGGCTGGTTTTCTTCCATGCCGTAAAGTCCAATGTCTCTTTTCTCTCTCTTCCCACACCGGCTTTGATTTCAGCTCTACATCCAGGCTCGGTTGGTGGGCCGATGGGCCCGGCTGGTGCGTCCAACAATCCAGTTTTTCCTCCTCTCCTTTGCTGTCTACGTGGGCTACAGCAGAGTCTCGGACTACAAACACCACTGGAGTGACGTGCTGGTTGGCTTCCTCCAGGGGGCACTCGTTGCTATTCTCATTGTAAGTGTGCTTTTCTTTGGGGTTGGGGTGCAGGCTGGGAGGTGACCCATGCAGGGTCCATGGTTATTCCATCTCTCCCTCAGACTCTTGATGGCCAAGTTCAAATCTTGGTATTCCCCAGGTCATTCTTCCTGAAGCTCTTTCAAGCCCTTTTCTATCACCCTGCATACGCCTTTTAATAGCCCACAGGCCACCCCTCTCCACATGCCTTTTCTTTACGTCAAGCAACCTCTGGCTTCCCCCTCATCAGTTAGAATGTTGCTGAGCATTCTGTGAGTTCACAGTAGCTCAACCGATGGCTTTCCTGGGGAAGCAGCCTCAAAGCAGAGCAGCTGGGGTGTGTGCCTGCGCACTCTCACTTTCCTCCTCTTCCTTCAGGTCTGCTACGTCTCCGACTTCTTCAAACAACGTCCACCGTCGTCCTGTGCCAAGATGGACGTTGGGCGCAAGGCAAGCGTTCCTCTCCCACTGAGCGAGCCGGAACACAATCACTACAGCTATCGATCAGCCACTTGAACTCCTTTTGCAGCGGGGACGCGCCCTTCTGCCGGTCACCCGGAAGTGCCCCACCGGCTCTCTCCCCCTCAACCAGAGGTTGTAAATTGTAAATTGTTTTTGGACTCAAAGAGGAATATCTGTGGGGTAGTTGTCACACCTTTTTCTTTTACTACTTTTCTGAGGCGCCTTCTGCCCTGTCTCACTGCACGGTGCAGTTTTGCACTCTGGAATTCATGCGCACTGACCCCCCTGATGTGAGGGGGAAGAGCTAAACTTTTCACAAGCCTCATGCATGCTCCATGTCTCTTGAACATTTGCTTTCCTCGTGCAAGCCCTGGAGACCCCAGATGGCTCTGATTTGTGTTTCAGACTCTCCCTTTTCTAGTTTTTGTGCTTTTAATAGAAGCGTCACTTGCAGATGTTGGAACGGTTTGAGTATCCCATGGGTCACTCATTCCTGCGGCCTTAAGCTGCCATTTTAAGTCACAAGACAAGTTGTCACCCCACTAAGTGCCTAACAAATTATTTGGTGATACAATGCACACAGGGCCCAGGCATGGCACTTGCCCAATTCCCTAGGGGGAGTAGCAAGCCCTGCCCCACAGCCCATTCCACACCCCACGGAGGAATGCACTGTGTTCTCTTCACTAGGAAGTTCCACACATCTGCGGTGCTTCTTTGCCCCGAATTAAAATGCAGGCCGTTCCCATGAACTGGGGTTCCACAGCAATGGTGCTCCGTAGAAACAGTATTGTAAATATTGGAAAGTTTAGATAGGGACTGAAGCTAGGTTGGTTGAGCTGGCCGTTCCTCTCCACCACTTCTTTTCCATAGCAGCCTCCCAAAAATGCTGTGCCAGAGGGACAGGAAAAGCTTCCAGATGGGTTTTGTGGGGAGGGGGCTGATCCCTAACATTTGGGCAGAGGGGCTTCTGCGAAAAGGCAGCAAGCAGACTCCCCCTCCCCTTTGCGGAAGGCAGATCCTGCATTCAACTCCAGGTATGTAAACTTTACAGGATAATTTGGCTGCAAGCAAAAGGAGAATTAGGTTGGCAAGTTTGACCCACTTTCAGCTGAGGGCTAAATTCAACAGCAGAGTGGTTTTCCAGGGCTCTGTCCGGGAATGGGCAGAGCAAGGGGGTGGGGGCAAAAACAGGGAAACTTGCAACCCATTTTCGCTTAAAGCCGCTGACTGCAGTTATTTAGAATGGGTGTCAGGAATGGAACAAAAGCTGGGAAAATACAGAACACTAAGGTGGGTGCAGGGAAAGCTGGAGAGCCAAGAGAAAGGCGGCTATGTATATCTGGAGGATGCGAGAGTGATTCCCCCTGCCGGGTCTGAAGTTCCATACCCTGATTTAAGGGTTCGCTCTGCTGACGGTGGTTGTCTTACCAAACAGCAATTTCCTATGGCTCAGCATCAGGACTAAACTTTTGCAATGGTGGATTCTTTTTCATGGAAAATTCAGAGAATTCAATAAAGTGGAAGAAAATGGATCACGGTAGTTGTTCTTGCCATGGAGACTTTCCACCCTCCTCCTTTCCACAAGCCTTCGAGTTCCACTGAAATTGCACCTTAAAAGGGGATATTGCAGAGTTGGAAAAAGGGGGCAGCAAAAGGGATCAGGGGGCTAGGGGGAAAGGTTTGCTGGACTTGGGACTGCTTAACTTGTTTAAAAAGGGTAAATAAGACAGGAGAAAGGTATAAATTTAGGTACTGTTCCGAGAAATGTTAAAGGACATCTTTCTTGTAATAATGAACCCCCAGAAGCTGAATAGCGGGAGATTTGGGAGAGAGAAAGGGAGAAGCTTTGCACACTGCAGACATAACTTTTGGAATTCTCTTCTGCAAGTTTCCAGTGCCAGTCTGAACAGCTTTAAAGGGGGCCTGAACACAGTAATGGAAGAGAGAGACTATCTGTGCTGCTAGTCCTCATGGTTTTCTGCTGGGAAGCATGCTGGGCCCAGGTGGAATTGACCCAGCTAGGCCTCTTCCTATGTCTGAAAGCACCAGGGAAGATTCTAGGTATGCGAAATGAGTACTCCCGAGCATCGGCTTCCAGTGCACCTCAGAAGAGGGCATTAATATAGACAAGCAACTCTAGCTAATTGCCCTGGCATCCTGGATTATTGATGAGCAGTAGAAGGTATGCTCATTTTTCACTGGCTGGGAATGATTTGTGAAAGTTCGGGGAGTTTTCAGTTAAAGTGGGCAGCAGCTTTGCATGCATGGCTTTTACCTGCCGTTCAGCTCAATTCTTTTGTGCTGGGTTGGGAAAACGAATTGTCTGGATGGTTCCATTGGTCAATAGTTAGGGCAACGATGGCAAACCTTTTAGAGACCGAGCGCCCAAACCGCAACCCAAAAGCCACGGATTTATCGCAAAGTGCCAACACTGCAATACAACTTGAATACAGAGGTTTTATTTTAGAAAACTCGCAGCCAGTCCATCTCTCTCTCTCGCGCGCGCGCTCTCTCTCTCTCTCTCTCTCTCTCTCTCTCTCTCTCTCTCTCTCTCTCTC